GGTTTCCCCCCCTGTTCTCCTACCACCTAAGGTGCCCAAAGCCTGATACACAAAGGCCATATTTAAATCAACCTGCAGCTCATGGGCTTGGCCATCCAGGGGCCTCCGGAGCGCGCAGGAAACGGGCTCATTTATTTTGCTCGCACAACCCAAAACGTTCATTGATGTAAAGTCGCTCGGCACGTGGATAATTTAGTCTGACCCACATTTTAATTTAAAGAAAACTTATTATGTTTCTGATGCTCATCTTTTGCCATTTCATGTCGTTTAGAAACGCCGTGGTGTAGCTGACAAGCCTCCACCCCCCAGCCCACATTTCATTAAAAAGTTTTACTGAGGATCCTCGCCTGACCAGGATTCATCACCTCCCGCCTTTCATGAGCGCACACTTTCGGGGGTCTCCGCTCGCGTGCTGTGGCCGCGGTGCGCTGCGATCCGGGGAAGAGAACTCTCATCATTATTTTTCAAAGTCTGGGCAAAGTGTATTATCCTTTTCTTTCCTAGTGGTAATTAGTTACCATAGCATCTCGTACGCAAATGTGCCCAGAGCACACCATTAACAGTTAAACGGAGGATTCAATTTAACACATGATTATATCTTTCATAAGTCATTACATTGGAGAAGCCCGTGCCACTCATGCTGGAGCAATCTCAAGGTCCGGGGAGCGCAGAAAGGTTCGGTTCAGGCGTCTGTCTGAGACCAAGAGGGCCTGGAGAGGGGAAGCTGGGAGACCAGCCCTCCCTCCACCCTAGGGAGCTGTTAGCAGTGAAGATGGGTGATGAGTCCGGTAGAAAGAAGAATTTAGCTCCCTACAAGGTCTTGAAGGGGATGCCCAGCTGCGCGGGGCAGTGCACATCAGGAAACACACACACACACACACACACACACACACGCCACTGGGGGAGTTCTTTAGAGATGATCGTTTGCTGGTCCTGTAGGAATCCGACAAAAGCCCCCATGCTTCTGTCTGTGCCCAGTGTCAAACTGGAGGTGAAACCTAAGAGGGAATTAGAAATTAGAGAAGGAAATTGAAATTAGAGAGTAAGTGGAAAAGGAAACAGGTGGAATAAAGGCCAAATGGGATTCTAGGTCCTCGTTTGGGCCTCATCTGCTCAACTCTCAATTCCTAAGGCACCAGAGCAGCAGCGGGATCCACCTGGCTCTGCGCCTGGAGAAGCACCCAGCTCCTGGGCGGCCAGGGTACGCTGGCCCTGGGGTCAGCCAGGCTTAGGGGCCAGGCCAGCCTGTCTGCCCTGTTCCAAAGGCACTTCCTCCCTGCTTCCTCCTCCCTAATCCCCCCACCCTGTGCTCAGTCACCAAGTTTCCACCTGGATACTCCAAACTGGAAGGACCTCTGGGCCCAGCACTGTGTGGTCTAACTTTCCAGACTGGGCTAAATTCAGGATTCAACCCTCAGAAGAAAAGCCACCAGGGTTTTGCCCAACCAGTGGGGGAAGAATTCTCTCTCCAACCCTCAGTGATCTTCTCTAAAAGCTGCTGCTGAAGCAACTTTGGGAAGGTTGGGATTAGGGCAGAAAAAGCCACCTATGTAAGTCAATCACCCAAAGCCCCTTCCCAGTTCCTTTCAGATATCTCATGTTTACTCCTAGGACAACATGCTGGTCCAACTTCTGGATTTGGAAAGAGAAGTGATTGGTTTGAAATGATCAAAATAAAAAGAAATGTTATTAAGCTGCTACTTTTAATAACTGCACACATTCCTCTGACGTTTTGACTTTTTTCCAACATCCTCTTTTTTTTCTCCATCCCTATCCATTTCAGGTCTATTTAAGGACTCAACGTGGAGACTGAGTTATTAAAGGGTGAACTTCTGAAGTTCAAGAATTATTATTTGTACAATTTGTAATAACAGTTGAACAGGACAGAGGTTGCAGAGGAAGTATTTCAAGGAGGCCTATTTAATAACGAGAAACGCTAAGCAGTAAATCTTGCTGCAAATGTGTCCCCTCCAATGTTAATATGCAAAAAGGGGGGGGGGAAATCGACTGATGGTGGCTGTGTTTAATTCCTAATCAGAATGATGGACAGCAGGGCCAGAACAATACAAACTAATGGCTGTGTTGCTGATCACTTTACCCCTTGATTAAAGACACCCAATTATGGCGCAGAACAGTGTCGTAATTATGTTTCTTAATCACATCCAGGAGGTTTAATTGCCTTAACGATGTGTTTCATTAAATGAATTTAGGTATTATAGTCGACAGTTTTCATACACAGTTGTTTTCAAATTAACATAATATTAGACATCGTCATGGAAATTGTTTTAATAATCATAATTAGATGCACCCAGGCTTTGTCTGGTAAATGCTAAGAGATGGGTCTCCTCCAGCCTGGGGGCTGCCCTGGTCTCTTCCCTCCCTCTACCCCCACTCCCAGACTGGGAGGGCTTTGACTTCAAGGCCCTTTGCCGTTATGTTTTCTGAAAAGTTGCAGGTTCTGATTAATCCTTTTTGATGGCAAGTGGAGCAGAAAACACCCTCCCTCACCCCCCACTAAGTTTGATGGCATTTAGGAACATCACTCTGAGCCCAGGCTATACAGACAAATGTGCATTTAGCAAACTGCCCACAACAGAAGCACTGTGACTTTGCCACCACCGTCCCTACAGCCTCCACCACAACAGATATCAAACCTTCTCTATTTCAGGATGTTACTCAGGCCCAAATCCAAGTCTATACAGACAGTCTTTAATAGAATCAATGCCCAATTTGTCCAAACAGAGTCCCTAAATATCTCATTAATAAACAACACTGTTAAGCTTTGAAAATCTCTATGGGCACTGTTTGCACTTACAACTCAACCTGGTTGATTCTTCTGTCAGAAAAAAATGTGGACAGCCACCATGAAAGTCATCCTCCATGAATCCAAATCCATCTTTTTTTTTTTTTTCTTCCCTTGGCTTTTGGGCAAGATGGAAAGGGACATTTTGATCAAAACTCTTTTAAGAAACTTCACCATCTTTGATATGGATTCTAACATGGATCGCAAGACCACCAAGTAGGAAAAGAATGCCAGGGAAAGCATGGCCTTCAAAGTTTGCCAAGCAGACACACTCTGCACCGTCCCTGGGTCTTACCACTGACCCCACTGCTCTCTTCTCCAATGACCACCAGGCCCAGCCATCATCCTTTGACCAAATACACAAGAGAACTGGAGTCACTCCTATTTGTATATCCCTGACAAAACTCTACTTCTCTGAAACTCCTTTCTTTTTTGTTACCTTTCAAACCAAAAGTAACACAGAAGAGAGGTGTCTGCTCCTCCCACAAAGCACAGCATAATAAAATGTTTGATCAAAATATTTTAATAAAGATTCTTTCTGACATAGATACACATACAAATGGTTGTACATAGCTGTCACAGTCTGATTGACCTATTGAATATATATCATTCTTTATACATCCAAAACCCACCAATCACAGCTCCCAGCTCGCCATCCAACCTGACAAAGTTGTATTATCTGCAAGAAGTGGAAAATAGCAGGACTCCATTTCTTTTTCTTTAAAAAAAAAAAAAAAGGATTTCTTGATTTTTGTAGGATAGAAAGGCAGGCAAGCAGCCATGCAAACTAAAACTGAAAGCTCACTTTGGGTAAATAGCTTCTTGATCTTCCTTAGCTTTGTTTTTAAATTTTATTTTATTTTTTTTTTAGAAAAATAACAAAGAATTTCACACCATAGGCAAATCAAACCAGTCTTTTAACTTAAATAATTCTCCACAAGTAAAATAACTTATATATGTACATATATATTAAAAGCAATTAAATTAAGAGCTTTTAAAAATGCACAGCACAGTCTGGAAAAAAAATATTTGCTTAGCATGGTCTTACTCCTAGGTTTTACTGCTGTGATGTTTTTCCCTTTAAGAATGCAAAGGAGTCCCCTTTCAAAAAAGAGATCAATTCATTCATCAATTAAGAATACATCTTTCCTGTAATTTTTGGACTGAAGCAATTTATTAAAGCTCAATTTAAATACAGGGATGATGCAACTGAAAAAATCCTGGTGACCTTTGATAAACCTAAGCAGCTCAGATACATCAATAGGTCTCTTCATACTTGTTGGCAAATAAACCTTTTAAACACTTGGCACACAGTATAAGTTAATCTATAAAACAATTTTAGAGGCATTAAAAAAAATCTGCACATAAGTAAGACCCATGACCTTAACACATGATAAATACTGTTGATGTGGGTCACTGAAGAATAACAAATAAATACCATGAATGGTTAATACATCATTGCAGAGTGGAAAGGAACAAGGTGCACATAAATATTTTTAAATGCAATTCTTTCAGCCACAGTTTTTTTTTTAATATCATTCTTGCCAAAAACTTTCGAGCGTTTCCATAGTTCAGAGACAATAAAAAATACAAGTCTTTCATAGCAACGTGTCTCTCGCTTTCTTCTTTACACTTAAATAAATCTACCTTTCATTGTTTTTCTCCTGGCTCAGAGTCAAAATGTATTTCCAAGTGCCCTTTCTGACTTGTCTGAATGAATAGTCCGTCTTACAAGCCGCCCAACCCCAGACTCCTCTCCCAGTCAGCACTAGCCAAATGCACAATGATTAGTATGATTAGTATGAATAACTCTCCACACTTTATCACCAAGCGACTACTTTTCAAACTTATTTTTTAACCTTAAAGGAACACTGCTTCCTGGCGTCCTGGGCTGCCACCAAAGTCGCCACTTTTTTTGAGATTAAAGAAAAAAAAAAAAAAAAAAGACATCCATACTTTAGCTCAACTCCACCTCCTTCCTCCCGCCCTCCCACTCCGAAGACCGAGAATCTGGGGATGTCAAGGCTCAAGTCCTGCTTGTCTCTGACACGTCTCCTCTCCCAGTTCTCGCCTCTGCTTTGTTTGCTCTGCAAATGTGTCCCAACTACCGGAGGGCCAACGCGCAGGGGGGATGGGGTCAGCTCTTCCCTTTCCTCTAGCTTTTGGGTCGGTCTGATGTTTCTCAGGGGGGGTGTGTTTAAGGCTTCTCCGTGCACTGTTTGCAGAGGCTGGAGGAGACGCTGTTGAACAGGGCGCACTTCTCAGGGCAGGAGGCGGCCGGGGGCAGCCCGGCGCTGAACGGGTAGCCGGCCGCCTGCTCGTAGGCGCCCAGCGCCGGGTGCAGGGCCGCCGCCGCCGCCGCCGCCGCCGCCGCCGAGCTGGGCAGCGAGGCGGCCGAGATGGCCTGGCCCTGGTTGAGGTAGGCGACCAGGCGCCGCATCTCCTCCAGGGCCTGCGCCTGCATGAGGATGTAGTTCTTGGCGAGCAGCAGCGTGGCGATCTTGGAGAGCTTGCGCACCGAGGGGCTGTGCGCGTAGGGGATGACCGCGCGCAGCTCGTCCAGCGCGTCGTTCAGGTCGTGCATCCGCCGGCGCTCCCGGGCGTTGATGTTGAGCCGCAGCGCCTTTTGCTCTTTGGATTTCTTGCTGCTGGTGGTGCTGCCGCCGCCACCGCCGGCGCTGCTGCTACCCCCGCCGATGGCTCCGCCGGGACCCCCCGGGGGGCCGCTGGCGCCGCCGTGGAGGTGGGCGTTGGAGCAGCCCTCCGCCGCCTTGGAGCCGCCGCCGCCGCCCGCGCCCGGGGAGGCCCGCGGGTCCACGCCCCCGGCCCGCAGCATCAGCTCGCAGCGGCCGTCGCTGTCGTCGTCGGGGCTCTGCTCGCCGCCGCTGCTCTCGGCGGCCACAGAGCCCCGGCTCGCGCTCTCGCCGTATTTGAGGCTCAGGGCGGCCCCCGCCGGCAGGCTGCTCAGTCTCGGGTCGCCCCCAACCCCGGCGGAGCCCACCAGCAGCCCGGGGACGCCCACCCCCCCGCCGCCACCACCGCCTCCCCCCGGCGGCGGCAGCAGCAGCCCCGCGCCCTCGGGATCAGCCGGCTCGAAGCAGCCCAGGGGGGGCGACGAGGAGGAGGAGGGCGCCGGGCGCTCCCGAGGCGGCGGCGGCGGCGGCGCCAGGGACAGGTCCATGCCCGGGGGCGCGGAGCGGAAAGGCGCCTCCAAGCGCTTGGCCCCGGAGGCGGACAGGCTCTTGTGCAGGAAGAGGTCGTCCTCGCCCGCGGCGGCCGCGCCGAGGTGCAGCCCGCGGTCCATGGTCCGGCGCCGCCGCCGCCTCCGCTCGGGAGTCAGGCGGCGCGGAGGATGCGCCCGAGCCGGGCTCCTCCGGGGCTGATGCTCTCGTGGGTCCCGGTGCCGCTGGCAGCCCCTCTCCCCTTCTTTTTCTTCTTCGTCTTCCCCCGCGCTCGCTTCCTCCTCCTCCTCCTCTTCTTCTTCGTCGTCTCCAGCCGAGGGTGCGGGCTGCTGGGGCTCACCATGGGCCGCGGCCCCGCATGGTGGGAGGGTGGGCGCGCGGGGAGCGGAGCCGCCGCCGCCGCCGCCGCCGCTCTGAGCGCAGCCCCGCGCTCCGCTCCGCACCGTTTATCTTGCTTGGATTCACCTTCAAGAGATTTCCGGACCCATCCGCCAGCCAGCCAGCCAGCCAGCCAGCCGCCGCCACAGACGGGGGAGAGTCTTTTACATCATTATCTCTCTGAGTAGGTTATGATGAGGAGGAAGACTCGCCTGTTGGGACGGCGCTCGCTACCCAATCAGGTTAACGTTTTAATTAATAGGATTAAAACGGTCACAAACAATCGCAGGCGCGCTCCCTGGCCGCGAGGCTGAATAGTTTCCTCTCCCAGGTTCTGGAGACAGACAGCACAAGCAGCGAGGGCTTTATACGAGGCGCCCGCTCCGTTATTCCGCCTGCCATCTGCATACACAACTTCGCGCATATGTTTGCAAGGCGCCGGGTCCCGTTAGTAACCCAACAACTGCCTTGAGCTTGACATGTGTGGCGACTTTCACTCATCAATGAGCACACTAAAAGCCCCACTTAGAGCCGAGGAGGATGTTTCTTTGCTCCTTCAGCAAACTGTAGATCGGCAGCGAAGCCTGGGAGTCCCGTGGAAAGCCACCCCCCCACCCCCATCCCCATCCCCACCCCCCTGCCCTTCCCTCGCCACTGCCACTGCTGCCTCATCTTGTGCTAAATCACCCTTCTGGGCGAGAATTATACTCCACCCATGTGCACAGGATGGCACTGGGCTGCATTTGGAGATGGGGTTTTGGGGGCTGGGGGCGGGCGGACTGGCCCCCAAGTTCACCCTAGATTCTCAACTAGTGAGAGAGCAAAGCAGTCGTGTCCCCGTTCAGCACGGACTTATTTCCACCCCCATTCCCACCACTTTCCAACCAGGAAAGAAAAAGAAAAAGAGAGATGAAGAGCAAATGGGTTAAGCAACCCATTCGATTAAAAGGGGAGGGGGTGTCTTTGCCCCATTTCCCAGCTGCAGTGATGATGGTGACGGAGGCACACGGTTTCCTAATCAGGAAAGAACTAATTTCTCAAAGTTTCCTCCAGATTTAAAATCTGGGAATAACCAACTTTACGGGGAGTCAAATCCTCTCCCACCCCAAGTGGGGCATTATGTGCATATTTGCATTAAAAAAAAATTTTTTTTTGCCCGGAGACGTTACCGCCAGGGCTAGGAAGCCCCGTAGGGACATCTGGACCTGCCTGGGTTGATAAAGGGAGGTCTGGGAACAGGGCATCTCCGGGGATGGGGCGGGGGTACACGCCGTCCTCCCCCCTCCTCCTGCCGCCCCAGTTGCCTGTCTGGGAGCACATGGCACTTAGCGGCTGGTGTTCATCCTTATGACACCAGTAAAAACAATATTCTCCAGCACCTCCCATAAATCTTCCTTATGTGGCAGAATGGCCGAAGCTATGAGATTTTTTTTGGTTTCTCCGGTTTCATTAAAAACCTTTTAATTGTGGCTTTCCGAGTTGGCCCCAGGTGTTGGACTCTTTTCATTACATTTTGCTCTAATGTGATGAAATTCTAATTCTCTCCTTACCATATGGTTAAATTTCCCAACTGAGAATTAGTTGAAAAAAGGGAGAAATAATCTATTAATCTCTGTAATAGATTCACAAATGAGGCTCGCCCGCAGAACCTGTTTCTGAATGGCGATATTTGGAACAGTTGGGCGCCTGGTTTCATAAAGGAAGGGCGAGGCCGGCGCCGCGGCGCCCACAGGGGCACCTGGAGAGGCTGGATGGGGGCCCAGCGGCGTCTTTCCAAACTAATGGCCTGAGGTTCCATCTCTCTGGGACCCCAATACTTTCTTTCCCAGTCCTCGGTTCCCGTCGCGCCCCAGAATTTACTGGAACCCAAAGATTGACAAAGACCACGCGGGTTGCGGGAGGCTTTCCAGCCTGGGACCGAGGCCGGCGCTTCTGGAAGGCTTGAGCCAGCTAACGGATCTCGCTGGGGACCCAACTCCCCCCCCCCCTCCTCCCACCCCGCTCCCCTTCCTTCTTCCCTTCCCGGGCGTTCGCAGCTGTTTACCTCTCCCTTTAGAAGTTCAAGACAGGCTCCTGTTACAGTTTTGTGGTTGTTTTTTGTTTGTTTGTTTTTCAATTAGCAGCTTTCTTTTCCTGGGGTTGTAAACAAGGGGCTCTCTATAAACATACAGGGAAGTCCAGTGCGCCATGGCTCTGGGAGGAGTGGAGAGGTGTCTCTGACGGACACCTGGTTTGGTTCTTCATGGAGACAGCCTTCCCAGGGGGCTGGCACTCTCCGCGGAAAGCCTGGACCCCTGCCAGCCAGTCAGTGGGCATTGGAGGGGCTAAGAACCTCTCACTCCCAAGCCAGGTGGGAGCCTGGGCGTAGCTGGGTCCTGCAGGGCCAGGAAGCCCAGCCAGGGTGGCCACAGAAAGCAGCCAGGACGCCTCTTTAGACCCGGCTTAGACCTGGGACCCTCCCAGGATCCTGATTCTTTGCTGCTTTCCGATAATCAAGTGCGTCCTAGCCCTTCCCCGCCCCTTCCCCCCACCTCCACGCCATCCTTCCACCCTGCCCCCCCACCACCACTCGTGGCCATCCAAAAATCTGGGACAAACTTTTGCGCAATTTTATTTCATTGGGTAGGAGCCAAAAACCCCTTTCCTTTGAGGCTCAGAAAATCCCCCAGGTCTTCCCGGAGGAGGTGGCTGCTTAGTAGACAAGTGGGCATTTCGCTTGGGGGAAACTGCCCGAGAATTTATAGGAGCTCTGAAGGTGGGCCTTGTGACAACCGTAGGGGAATGGTCTTGGAGGTTTACGCACTCGTAAACGTTTGCTGATTGCTTCTGGGGAGTTTCAGGCACTTAGCACCGCATTTATCTTATGGGGCAATGAAAGCACATCTGCCTAACGTCCCGTTACCTGGTTTAATCGTCGCCAGCCCTGAGTCCTGGCCTACGCTGGCTCTCTCTGCCCCCTCACTTGAGTGGGATCCCCACACCTGGTTTGGGGCAGCGGAGGGACAGCGCTTCTGCGGCTGATTTAGTGCCCTCTGCCCGCAGGAGCGCGGGGTCTCTTTGCACTTGAACTTGGATCCGCCAGGAAGCGGGGAAAGGGCCTAGGCCCCTCCTGATGTAACCAGCAAGTTGGAGAAGTAGCAGAGGGAAAGCCCAAATGAACACATTCTGGTTCCCAGGCAGGAAGGAGTGGGCGAGAAAGGGTGGGCAATGAGCCCGCGGGAAGCACCCCGGATTCACTGATGACCCCAGAAATTTGAAATAGAGAAGGAAGCACGGGAAGTGCTCTGTTGGTGGTGCTTTGTCAGAGGTCACTGGGGGCTCAGGAAAGGGGCTCAGGAAAGGCAGGGGCTGTCTCCTTTACCCGCAGCACGATGCGGGGAGCTCAGTCCACTCCACTGGCGGGATGGGGGGGGGGAGCGTGGGGGGGGGTGCGGAGGGGGAGGAGGGCGTGGATGGGGACAGTTCAGCAACACTCCGCACCGCGCTCTGGGTGCTGGTCTGGGTTGCTTGGCACAGCGAGGCCCGCTGGCGCAGGGAGCATCCTGGGCCGATGGTTGGAGACCAAACTCACAGTGGCCAGAGCATGTTGTAGGAAGATGAACCCGGATTGGCTACAGAGGGAAGGGAGGGAACACACCCAAGGCTTGGGGAGGATTCTAAGATGCTCAGCAAGCAGCACTGCCCGGGAGTTACAGAGCGTGGAGCTTCAGGCCAAACTAGTTTTTTTAGGTCCTACTTACATGTCTTTAAGTGATCATCTTTAGTCATCTTCGCTTGAAATTTGAAATAGGGGCCTAAATCAAATCAGAACGGAACACGGTCTAATCTACTTTGGAAGAGCCAAACCTGGGCGCCTCTTTGTTGTTTCTATCGCCCCGGTAAACCATTTACTGCTCACCTAGATTAAAAAGCCGGGGGAACCGGGAACACTTGGATGTGGGTGTCTGTGTGTTTTCTGAAAGGCAGGATGGTCCGTGTGTGTGTGTGTGTGTGTGTGTGTGTGTGTGTGTGTGTGTGTGAGAGAGAGAGAGAGAGAGAGAGAGAGAGAGAGAGAGAGAGAGAAAGAGAGAGAGAGAGAGAGATTGAGATTGATTCAATCTATCCATTTGAGAACATTCTAAAAAGTAAAAGCAAAGTTTAGCAAAATGACATGAACTTTCGCTTGGGAGCTGCTCTGGAAAAGCAAAATTCCGAGAACGGTGGGACCGCTTCCGAGAGGCGAGAGGCGCTGCCCAGCGGAGAAGCCCAGCCTGGAAGACCGAGTCCGGCGGGGACCGCGGACGCCCCAGGCCCCGGTGGGTCTCCCTCTGGAACTGCCCGGGGGTGCAGTCCTCGCGCCGCCCATACGCCCCGCCACCTTCCAGGCCAGGGCGCTCTAGACCGCCCTTCAGCCTCAGGGGGCCTGCTGGCCTTGAACTTGCACATGCCTCCCCCCTCTCCCCGACCAGTCCGCGCTGTCCGGTGGCACCTGTGTCCGCTGGCAGCCCGCACAGCTGAGGCTTATGGTCCTGCGCCCCCTCCCCTCCGAGTTGGGGAAGGCTGGGCCATCTCGGTGGCGGAGACATTCCAGCCCGAGCCTTTTGGGGTCGTTTTGTCATCAGTATTTTCTCCCCCACTTCACCAGGCCCTACAGAGCTCCCTGCGGAGAGACACTCTGCGTGCACGAGTGTCTTGGAGACCCGCGAGGGTGCAGGGCCCCAGAAGCTGGGACAGAGCTGCCCCGGCTCCGAAGGCCCCGGCTTTACCATGGCTTTGAGGTGCTTGGCAATTCCCAGGACTTGGATTGTGGAAAAGTGAAAACCTGTTGATAAAAAGTACCTCTCCGCCCCCCCCCCAAAAAAAAGATTGTTTTCTTTTCTCTTTATCTACTTTAAATAGAAGAGGCTGACCCTCAGGAATGTTTGGCCACAAGTTAGCTTCAGGTTGGACAGATTGGAGAGAGACTCTCAGCGCCCCAAGGAGCACCCTTTTTAGCGCGAAGGTGCGCCCCACGCCAGCTCACCGGCACGTGTGTCCCCCCCCCCCCCCCCCGTGAAGGGCTTCCCTGGCGCCCGCGGGGCCTCTCAGGTGATGGAGACTTGTAAGCAAGTGGGAAAACGTGTCTCAGCCTTGCATTGCTGAGACCCCGGAGGACAATGCAGGATGTGCGGGTGGGGATGGAGGAAAGCTATAGAAAAGAGTTTGGAAG